TGCATAGATGTTTATTATGGTTATGTCTTCATGATGGATCATGCCCTTAATCATTATTTAGTGTCCTTCTTTGTCTTTTATGGTGGAGTTTGTTTTGAAGTCTATTTTATCTGAGATTAGAATTGCCACTCCTGCTCTTTTTTGGTAGTTGTTAGCTTGATACATTTTTTTCCAACCTTTTGCTTTTAATAAATTCACTTCTTGGTTTCTAAGGTGTGTCTCTTGTAGACAGCATATTGATGGATCCTGTTTTTTTATTCATTCTGTCACTGTCCATGTCTTTATGGGTGCATTGAGTCCATTTACATTCAGTGTAATTACTGATAGATGTGCATTTATTGCTGTCAATTGGTAGTGCTTTTTTTGTGGTGCTGAAGGTTTCTTTGTTCTTCTTACTCTCCTGTGCTGAATTACTTTGGTTTGTGGATTTTTTTAATTTCTTTTGATTTTCTAAGTTTTTTTTTCACTGAGACTGTATGTTTTACGTCTTTATTTTCTATGTATGTTAACTATCTTTGTGGTTAAGGTGAAATTTACCCTTATATTTCCATGTTTGAAACAGTCTATTATTACTTGGTATCGCCTTGCCTTCCTCTCCATTAGAAGTTCTATACCTTCACCATTTATTCCCACTTTTACTTTTCTGATGTTGTCATTTACAGATTAACTGCTCTGATTACCGTTTGTATTTCTTTTGGTTATGGATAGTCCTTGAGAGTTCATTTCCTAGATCGGTATCAGGCTGGTACGATCCTGTGTCATAGACTCAGCGTGTGAGCGGAAGTTGTTTGTTCTCAGATCCAAGGAGTCCCTTTAATAATTCATGGAAGTTTGGTTTGGTTTGGTTTTTACATATTGCTTTAATTTCTGTTTATCTGGAAATGTTATAATTTCACCATCATATTCGAATAAGAGTTTTACAGGATATATTTTTCTTGGCTGGCAATTTTTTTCTTTCAAGGTTTTATATGTGTTATCCCATTGCCTTCTTGCCTGCATGGTTTCTGCCGAATAATATGAACTTAGTCTTATCGTTTCTCCTCTGTATGTGACTTTTTGTTTTTCTTGAGCTGCTCTCAGGATTCTTTGTTTTTCTTTGGTTTTGGTGAATGTGATTATGATATGCCTTGGTGATTTTCTTTTTGGGTCTATCCTATATGGGGTTCGTTGAGCTTCTTGGATGGCCAGCTTTTCATCTTTTATGATATTGGGGAAGTTTTCTGTCAGCAGTTCTTCAATGATCCTCTCTTTGTTTTCTGTTTTCTCCCCCGTTCTGGAACTCTAATCACTCGAAACTTTTTGCTTTTGATTGTATCATACGTAATTCTCAGGGTCTCTTTATTTTTCTGTGTCCTTTTTTCTGAGTTTTCCTTGAACAGAGTTGTATCCAAGTGTTTGTTTTCAATTCCACTGATCCTGTCTTCCACCATTTCAAATCTGCTCCTCAGCCCTTCTATGTCCATTTATGAATTCTTGTTGTTTATCTTTTTGATTTCTAATTGTTGCTTTTGTATAATTTCTAGTTGTGAATTTATTTTGGCCTTTTGTTCCTGCATTATTTTCCTGAATTATTCCATGTTTTTGTCTGCATTTTGCATGAATTTGTCTATTTTTTACTCATTTTTGTCTGCTTTTTGCTTCAACTCTCAGAGAATTCTGAGTGTTAGAGATTTGAACTCCCTATCAGGTAGTTCTAGTGCCTTTTCTTCCACTGGAAAGTTATCTGGTGTTTTATTTCAGACGCCTACTGGATCCATCCTGTTCTGTTTTTGTAAATATTTTGATATTGTCTGCTGTCTTCAGGGCATTCAGTAGCTATTTTTTTGTTTATTGACTGTAGATTTGTTTTGTCCTTTTTTTTTATTTGGCTTTGCCTGAGTAGGTGGGCTGTGTGTTCTTTGTTGTTTGCTCGTCTGTGGACACAATACTTTTCACCTCCTCCAATTGGCAGGGTCATTCACTCCTATATAGTACAGCAGCGCAGTTCTAGCTAAAGAAGGGTTGCTGGGATGGGTTGTTTGTGGCACTTACTACAGCCACCAGGGAGGGTTGGTAATCACTGCAGGGCAGGTTCTGGTAGGCTGTGCCTGTGCTGCTTGGTGGTGTGATGTTAAGCACACAGTGCTGGTAGGCAGGATGGAGGGGTGAGATTGTGATGTGTGGAGCTAAGATAGATATGGGGGAGAGGAGAGAGGAACAGAAGCCAAAAACATAGAAACAATGAAAAACGAGTGCTAGGGGAGCTCGCCATTGGAGTGGAGAGATGAGAGGCTGAGAAATGGAGGAAAACAAAAAGCAGAAGAAGAAGAAAAAAGAAAAGAAAAGAATGACTAAATAAAAATTAGAAAGAAAAAAGAACAGGAAAGCTCCCAGGGATCCCACAGGTGTGGCTATGAGGTCTTAGGAAGTTTTTCCCAGGTTTTGTAGTACAGCCTGGCTAGAAGGTGTAGAGGTATTCAGTGCCAGGTATTCAGAAAGAGAAAGAAGGTATAGAGAGACGAGAGACTGAGTAATGAAGAAAGACAAAAAGGGAAAAAGAAGGAAAACAAAATAAAACAAATTAAAAAAAAAAGAACAAGAAAAGCCCCCAAAGAAACAGAAAAAAAAAAAAAAACATAAAAATATCAATGCCGTCAGGGATCCCTCTGTGTGTCTACGCAAGCTGAGGGGGTATTTCGCAAGCCGTGTAGCACCGCCCGGACAGAACAGGCTCCAAACTTGACAAAAGAAAAAGAAAACAAACAAGCAATTCAAAACAAACAAACAAAAGGCCCGGGATCCCACCAGTGTGGCAGCCTAGACCGGGAAGCAGTTCCACACTCGAATGGAGCTCTGCAGCCCCTTAGGAAGAAGCAAAGATTGCGCATGGAGCCAGGTATTTGAGCGAAAGGAGGGGGAGGTGGTGAGAGGTAAGGAAGAAATCAAAAGAAGTGGAAAAAAGC